GCCAAGAGTGGGCGGGTCTGTTTGTGAAGCCAGGGTGGCTGCGAGACCCTCTCCCCTTGGGAACCTGCCCCTGAGATCCCCCCTCCCTTGGGTGGGGCGAGGGCTCCTTCAGGGCGTGTGGTGATCATTGAGGAGCCTGGAGTGCAGAGAGCATGGACTGGAAAAGATCCTGTCCCAAAACACTGTGGGAAGGGGTTTAGCGAGACCCCTGCTCCCAGGCACCATGGGAAGGGGCTCGAGGAGACTCTGAGTCTGAAGGCGCCCAGGGAGGTAACCTCAGAGCATAAGCGCAGGCAGGGGTTTAGAGAGAAGCCCCTCTGTGCCCCAGGAACACTACCAAGAGGAACCCCTGGGACAGCAGGAAGGCTTTCCGAGATGTGAAGGGCAGGGCCTCTGCCCCAGGGAAGACCTCGGAGGTCACCACTCCACCGTGGTGGCCTCCAGTCCTTGGGGCTGTGCCCCATTCAGGGTCTTCCTTCCCCCCACCTTTGGCCTCAGAGTCAGGGAGGAGCCCCGGATGGATGGGTTGCTGGGCCAGAAAAGGCAGCTGGTGCCTCCGGGGTGTCGCTTGGCTCCCTCTCTCAGGAGCCTTCTCCAACCCCCCAGCCTCCTCCTAAAAGGTTTGGGTGCAGATGCTGCTCTGTTTCTTCCCAGCCCACCTCTCTGCCCCGACCCCCCATGCACCCCTCCCTCTCTGAGCACACATCCCTTTCCCTAACCCACCCCCCTCCCTGAACCAAGTCCCTCTGGGCACTGAGAGGCACAGCTGGCCAGGTGGGGGGCTTCGGTTTGATGAGTGAATGCCAGGGTCAGCTGGTCACAGCTGCTCATGCACCTCCCCAACCCTCAGTCCTCCTGACCGACAAGGAGGGGAGACAGCTGTCGCCCGACGAGGCACTGGATGAGGCCGTGCCTGAGTACCGGGCCCCGGGGAGGAAGAGCCTCCAGGAGATCCAGCAGCTGGACCCTGATGACGAGAGCCTGGTCAAGTACAAGCGGGCACTGCTGGGGCCCCTGCCACCTCTCGTGGGTATGTAGGGCTCTGGGCCCGGAGGGGAGGGGCGGAGGCCGGGCGGCTGGGGCGGGGCAGGGGTGGTGGGGGGGGGGAGCCGTCCTGGTGACTTCCGGTTTCTCCTCAGACCCGAGCCTGCCTAATGTGCAGGTGACCAGGCTGACGTTGATATCTGAGCAGGCTCCAGGGCCCATCACCATGGACCTCACAGGTACTGCCCCCCCCTCGCCCGCCGTGGGGCTCCTGGGGCAGGGTCTCCACCGTCACACTTAGCTGCACTGTCCCTCGCAGGGGAGCTGGCTGCGCTGAAAAACCAGGTGTTTGTCCTGAAGGAGGGTGTGGATTACAAAGTGAAGATTACCTTTAAGGTGAGGGCAGCTGTCGCGGGGGACACCTGCCAACACAGGGCCAGCCCCCCCAGAGGGGCCCTTAACACCCTCTGTCCCCCAGGTCAATAAGGAGATCGTCAGTGGCCTCAAGTGTCTGCATCACACCTACCGCCAGGGCCTGCGTGGTGAGGGCAGCGAGGAGGGCTGGCCTGGGGGGCTGTGGGTGGGGGGCGGCTGCGGCAGAGGGTGGCCCCTGACAACCTCCCCCTCCCCCAGTGGACAAGGCGGTGTACATGGTGGGCAGTTATGGCCCTAGCGCCCAGGAGTATGAGTTTGTGACCCCGGTGGAGGAGGTGCCTCGAGGAGCCTTGGTGCGGGGTGCCTACGTGGTCACGTCCTTCTTCACTGACGATGACAGGACAGACCACATGTCCTGGGAGTGGGGCCTCCACATCTGCCAAGACTGGAAGAGCTGAACGTCCCCTACCCCGGGGGCTGTCCTCAGCCCACCTGGGGTCCTTGTTTCCCCTGCCCCTGCAGTCAGTGACCACACCCCCACACCCTCTGCTCCGGTCCTGGGACACCCCCTTCCTGGGCTGGCACTGTGCCCTGAACAGTCCTATTAAACGTCACCTTGTCTCGGTGCCCTTGGTGTTGCCTCTGTCTGCCTCCCCTCCCCCGGGGGTGGGGGGAGCCTCGTGGCCTTATCTTCCTGGGACTAGGACTGGGTGCCACGTGGCAGCAGCTGCTTGGCCCCCGGCCCCCTTATCTGCCCCCCGCCTCGTGGGCCCAGCACTGCCATGGACGGCCAGCTCCTGCTTGTGCTGCTGCTGCTGCTGCTTGGGGCCTCGGGCCCAGAGGGCCAGGGGCCAGGGCCCGGGGAGCCCGAGGAGGAGCCCCCCAAGGAGGAAATCCCTGAGGAGGATGGGATCTTGGTGCTGAGCCGGCGCAACCTCGGCCTGGCCTTGCGGGAGCACCGCACTCTGCTGGTGCAGTTCTGTGAGTGCACCGGGCCAGAGGGCTGGAGGACCCACAGGGGCCCCCCGGGGCGGGGGCGGGGTTCAACTCCCCACCCTGTGTAGCCGGGGCTTGTGCACATGAGGGACTTCCCCTGTGGGCACTTGGCCCTCCACTGTGCTCCTGGGGCTCCATGGAAGGGCACCGGAAGCAAAGCCCTGGGACTGAGCTGGGCCTGGGGGCGTCCAGCCTGAGCAGGGGAGGGTGGGGCTGGGGAGGGAGGCGCAGGTGCAGGGAAGACCCTAGATCACCATCCATCTGCAATTCTTTCTGTGAGGGGCCACATAGCATTCAGGCCTTGCATATTCTGCTATGGATTAGAAAAAGAATAGGAGTGCCTGGGGGGGGGGGCTCAGTGGGTTAGGCGTCTGACTTTGG